AGAGCTGAAATGCTTCCTGGTGGATATTTGATTCGGCCATGCGATGGGGGAGGGTCAATCATCCATATTGTTGATCATCTGAACCTTGAGGTCTTACTTGTAGCCTTGTCCTTATTAGTCCCCTTTCTTCAGTCGTCACTTGCTGAAGATTTTGACTTTAATCCTTCCAAGTCTCTTTTCAGGCATGGAGTGTGCCAGAGGTTCTACGACCGCTTTACGAGTCATCTAAAGTGGTGGCGCAAAAATTGACTATTGCGGTGAGTGCTATTTGGCCGGAATTATTTTTGAGGTTCATTTTGCTAATTCTAATTAGAAAAGTAACATTTGATATTAGATTTCCATCTGTAATAATCCTTATGTTGAGTCTGCTTTAATCTTCATATTTAAAGTATTTGTTTGATTGTTTGTTAGTCATCTCTTTCCAATTTCTTTCAATTTTTTTTTAGCAATAACCTGAAAATTAAAAATAGTAAACATAGAGGAAAAAGCTGACTGGATAGTCTCTCTGAAGGCACTACGCTATATCAGGCAAATAGCACAAGAGACAAGCGGTGAGGTGGTATACAGTTTGGGAAGGCAGCCTGCTGTTCTACGAACGTTTAGTCAACGACTGATAAGGTGTTTATAGTATTTTATTTGTTCACCAGCTTCTCTCCCCTCTTTTATGTGGATCACTCGTTAAGTACTGATTTTTTATCTTTTAGAGGATTCAATGATGCTGTTAATGGATTCAATGATGATGGGTGGTCAATATTGAACGTTGATGGTGCTGAAGATGTTACAATTGCAGTCAATTCAGCCAAAAATTTGAGCACCATATCCAATCCTCCTAACTCCCTCGCATTCCTTGGTGGAGTTCTTTGTGCAAAGGCTTCTATGTTACTCCAAGTAAGTTTTATGTGTGAGTAAGTTGCAAATGATGTGTCAATGGCAGCCTAAGATGTCTTTTTATATGTTCATCTTTGGTTAGCCCTCTTAGAGGAATTATTTCAATAATATGAAAATTCGAAGTGTTGAGGCTTCAGCAAAACCATTCTTTGTCAACCCATTCTATGTTAATAAATTATTTGAATGATTGACAATCTTCCTTTAATTTCTCACTGATGTTAGTGTTGCAAGAACACCTAGCAATGTTGGCGAAGCCCTGTTTTGTTTCTCAAAACAATGTGCTTGATTGTCAAAGCTCTCTGAATTCCCTTGGAATATTGCCGTATATTTTTATATTTCTTCATTATTTTTTTTCGGGCTTTTATTGGGTATAAGAAAAACAATACTGAGGTTCTGTTATCTCTTGTATCAGAATGTACCTCCTGCAGTCCTTGTTCGCTTTTTAAGGGAGCATCGCTCCGAGTGGGCTGACTTTAATGTTGATGGCTACACTGCCTCGGCATTGAAAGCAGGCTCTTATGCTTTTCCAGGAATGAGGCTCACAAGGTTTACCGGAAGCCAAATCATCATGCCCCTTGGCCATACGATTGAGCATGAAGAGGTATGTTGTTAAAATGGTAGTCTCTTTAACTCCCCTCTCCTGTTGGCATACCGTCTTTCCTTGGTGAGAGCTATTAAAAAAAGAGTGCTACTTTTGCCTATTGGCCGGAACACCTCTCAATATGCAAAGCAAACTAAATTTGATTGCTGAGAAATGCACTTAGAAGTTCATTTTGAAACACGTTATGAATACTCAATAACTTTTATCCGTCTTTTATCCGTGTTTCAGTTGCTTGAAGTTGTTCGACTTGAAGGGCATTCTCTTGCTCAAGAAGATGCTTTCCTATCGAGAGACATTCATCTGTTGCAGGTTCTTTAACCTTTTTAACTTTTTGTATTTCCTTCTGTTTTTAAAGAAGAAATTAATTTTTGCTAATGAAAACAAATGTACCAAATTTCTCTCTTTTGGAGACTGGGGAGCATATGTTTGAAGTTTGGTGCATGACGTTGATTCTCTGCCTATATTTAAAATCATTGTTTGGTCAATATATTTTCCATTCTAGGCTTCCAGGTTCTGATAAATATCTTAAAATGGCATGCTTTGTTCTGGCAGATTTGCAGTGGAGTTGATGACAATGCAGTAGGTGCCTGTTCAGAACTTGTTTTTGCGCCAATTGACGAGATGTTCCCTGATGATGCACCGTTGCTACCTTCTGGTTTCCGCATCATCCCATTGGAATCAAAAACAGTTGAGTCCTACCGTACTTTACCTAAATTGCTGTCAATATTTGTATTGATTTGAATTTTTCATGTTAATATATACAATATGGTATCTAAATTGCGTGTGCTGGCTTTGTTTTTCCTTTTCTTCTGTCAATGTAGTTTTTTTACCCTGGTACACTTGTGTCTTATTATTTTCTCCAATGCAGTCTGATGCAAAGGACGCATTAACTACACATCGAACCTTGGATCTTACATCCAGTCTCGAAGTAGGCTCCACAACAAGCCTTGCCGCAGGAGATTTGTCACCGTGTAACAACGCACGGTCACTGTTGACTATTGCCTTCCAGTTTCCTTTTGAGAGCAGTCTACAGGATAATGTTGCAACTATGGCACGTCAGTACGTCCGTAGTGTCATTTCCTCGGTGCAGAGAGTTGCAATGGCCATATCTCCATCTGGATTTAGTCCTAGTATCGGACCAAAGCTTTCCCAAGGCTCTCCAGAAGCTCTTACACTAGCAAACTGGATCTGTCAAAGCTATAGGTAACTTCTATTCTTTGCTCTCTTGTTTTTGTCCTGGTGGAAATGCTTTATTTGTCTTATTTCTGTGAGAATGCACTTTTGTGTGTCGCTGTAAATAGATTCAAAAGAGTACTACCAAGCTTTTATTTGTGATGGCTGGCTGTGCTTGAATTGCTGATGTTCTGCTGCTGACCCATTTGTCTTTTTTTTCCCCTTTTTCATTTTTAGGAGCGTGTACTGATATTTCTCTTATTTTTTCATGCCATCCTTCAGTTACTACATGGGGTCAGAATTGGTGAGTTCTGATTCCTTGGGCGGTGACACGGTGTTAAAGCATCTATGGCACCATCAAGATGCCATTTTGTGTTGTTCATTGAAGGTACAAATACAATTCCTTGAGCACGGCGTATCCTATCTTATCCAAATATGTGATTGATGTGTTCCCTCTTTATGTTTTATCAACAAATATGTACACAGAACACTTCTTGAAAATGAACTATAAACGGGGAAGATTTAAAAAGAAAATGGGAAATGATTTTGTTTTAATACATCGTTTTGTTTGTCGCAGTCGCTGCCAGTTTTCATCTTCGCAAACCAGGCAGGGCTTGACATGCTGGAGACAACATTAGTGGCTCTTCAAGACATAACATTGGATAAGATATTCGACGAGACTGGTCGAAAGGCATTGTGTACCGACTTTGCCAAATTGATGCAGGAGGTAATTTTACACATTCAGTTGATATGCGTGTATTTTTGTTTAAATGTGATGGAAGACGTGTAACCAAACTCTTCAGTTCACATCATCACCCAACGAAGTGACCCATAATTTTAACATGGTATTGTTTCGAAGACAAATAATTGAATGCCTTCTCATTTGTTGACGAAGCATGTTGACTAAACATATCCTTTTGTTTCTGTTGCGTTTCGATTCAGGGATTGGCTTACTTGCCGGCTGGGATCTGCATGTCCACAATGGGACGCCATGTTTCATACGAGCAAGCTGTTGCATGGAAAGTACATGCATCAGAAGACAACAATGTTCACTGTCTTGCTTTCTCTTTCGTAAACTGGTCTTTTGTGTGATGACGCGTATTTGTTTATTCCATCCAAAAGCTCTCCCACTTAGAACATGTAAAACCAAAAGGGTAGAAAAGGGAGAAGTTTGGAACAGAAGGAAAAGGAAAAAAAAAAAAAAAAAAAAAAAAAACCAAGTTTTGTAATTTCTCTGAACCCCCAGCTCCCAGGTTTGCAATTATATTAATTTAATTAAATCTTTTACTTTAAAGCACCAAAAGTTTTTTGGCTTCTCAATGTAAATTAGTAGCATGGTTTTTGCTGTAGATTGTAAGAACACGCCAGCTGTTAGTTAATAGAGTGGATTGGGTTTAGCCTCTAATATTCAATGTTGAAGGAATACAGGTTTTGTTCAAGTTTTCTTTCCGTTCGTATATACAAAAGACTTAAATTGTAGTTCCTAAGGTTGATAAATGGCTTGTCTAATGAAAAATAATGGTGTATTGAAACTTTTCTTAAAAGACACGATTATGAAGTTAAAATTTAATTTGACAAGGATAAGAGGCTTTTAAAATGGTGCCTTACATATGTGTGAAGTTTTTGACTGTTACCCCAAGAAAAGTACAGAATTTTTTTGCATGTCCTATTATGGTACGGCTTTTGTGAACTGTTGGATTTAGGGGTGACAATTCGTGTCACGTGTCGTGTTCTGAACATTTTTTAAAAATTTACAGTCAATCTGAACACGATCCGTGACACGAAGTGACGTGAAATTTTGTAAAAATCGCAACACGAACATGACACGATCACTTTACAAGTTGACACAACACGACCTGAAAATGACCCGTGACACAAAATTGACCCGTGAATCTGAAATTGACACGAAAATTGTTTATTTTTATTTAATTTTTTACATATTAAAAATAACTTAAAATTCATAACACACTAAATTACAATAACATCTATTGAAATTAAGTAAATAATAGTATAAGATTTTGAGTATTAACTATCATGATATTGCAAGTTCATAATAAAATTTAAAATATGTAATGAAAAATATATGTATTTTTTAGTTTTTTACGAGTTTCGTGTCGTGTTCGGGTTAGGCGGGTCCAACTCGAAATTGACCAGTATTTTTCGTGTTAATTTCAGGTCGACCCAATTCTGACCCGAACATCTTTTTTCTCAACCCTAACCCGCAAAATTCGTATCGTTTTCGAGTCGTGTCGTCGTATCGTGACCCATATTGCCGGCCCTAGTTGGATCCATTTCACTAACGTTCAGCAAGCTCCAAAAGGGACACATCGTCATTCAAAAGATTAACATAAGCGACTCAAATATATATATATATATACACACACACACACACAAATAAACCTGAAATTGTATCATGGTGTGGGACTGCGCATCATTGCCCTAGTCTAACTTCTACATTCTTTCTGCTTTAGCAAAAACAAAAAAAAACAAAAACTTCCTCGTTTTTTGAAGTTTAATTTGTTTAAGAAATTAGTACACGAAAAGAAAGCCAAACATACTGTTATTTTGCCCAAGCTATCGTGCGCCGGTTGCATCATCCACATGTTCACATTTATGAGGATGCATAAACTAACCGTTTTTTTTTTTTTTTTTTTTTCCTTTTTTAATATACTTACTGTTTCTATCAATGTGTAGTGAAAGATGATTTGGCATGAGATAGGCGTGGGGATCTGGTGTGATGGTGATTGACGCAACTGAGACAGACAAAAAGCGGCAAAGGCCTTTGAATTCTTACGGGAAGCTTTTCATACATAAAACACACTCATATATATATATTATATATATATGCGCGCGCGTATATGTATATGTATATGTATATCTTCGGAGGCAATAAGGCAGAGTAGTCTCACTCGTGAGAATTCTTTACCATTGATCGTTAAGCATTTAATGAATGAGATTTGACATGAAGATGGCAGAAGGTAGTACCCACCATTGTCGTCGAAATGTCTCTGCAATCTGCTCTATATATATGCCTGTCCACGCCCATGGTCATGTTTTTGTCTTTGGTTATTTGTCCTCTTCTTCTTGTCGTTTGGATTCCATGACATTAGCTTTCAATTAATTACACTCCTAAAACTGATATCCCATAAATGTGACAATAACATGCATTCTTATTCTCAGGAACTTTTTCTCACCTTTCATTTGTTTAAGAAAATCATGGTTCTCACTGATAAGTATATCTACTTGTAATGTTTTTAGCAAAATTATCTACTTATATAATGCCTTAACCTTATAAGTTGTCTCATAATTAGCAATCGTTTTTAACTTAAAATTTTGTTAGATCGTGAGTTTGCAGTACCTTTTGTTACATCTTACACACACACACACACACACACTACGAGTTAGTTCATTATCCTCAATCAAGAAAAAAAAAAGGCATAACAAAATGTGCAAACTGCTAAGACAAAGTTTTGAACTCCAATCATATAACAAGGTTATTAGCAAATAATGCCTATTTTCCAGTTATTTTTTTTTTATAAAATGTAATGATAATGTCAGAATGTCTGTTTTTTCGATAATACTAAATCTTTTCGACCAATTTTGGATCGGTTGACAAAGTGCCATAATATGAATTTTAATGATCCATCCACATATATGCTCATGTAATTACGCAATGCATTACAAAACTTGAATTGTGTGAATTGCATACTAGCTAATTACAGCATGTTTGGTTAATTATTTAATTAACCTTCCCGACCAAAAGAACATTACAATGATATATATATATATATATATATATACACATATACATATATATGGCCTTATGTCTTTGGTGCCAATCATTATAGCCTCTCTCACTCCGAACGGCAGCACTTGAAACGTTTTGTCGTGTTGGTGAGGAACAATGCATAGATTATCGTGTTCTTATCATTACATGTTTTGCTTGCATATTTCATAAAGATAGAGCTGATTATGTTGTGTAATGTGTGTGTATATATATATGTGTGTGAATATCAAGCTTGTGATTGTGAATTTAAACACAAGAACAAGAGCAATCATCATGTCTTTAGTCTAGTCTATTTCCCTTTTTCTGCACTATCTTTTCAGAGGTAATTCAATGATCTATTCCATTAGCAAACAAACACCTTTAGCTATTCTCTTTTCCCTAATTAGAAGGCGCGAATTACGACTTAATTACCAAAGTTCGATATCACTAGTACTACTAATCTCTCAAACTAGCAATTAAACAAACAAATCATATATATTGATGCATAATGCATTCCATTATTCTATTTTATATATATATATATATATATATATATTAAGGATACTTCATATTTATTATATTTAATCACCTAATTAATTATATATAACATACGCCATCTTGACAGTTGAAGATTTCTTAAAGTGGAATATTCATTCTACCTTTTCTTCACCTACTCATGATCAACTGCTAAGATCATTACGGTATTTTTATAAAATAACATGATAATACTACAAATTCGAGTAAATTTTAGAAATTTACTTTTAACACTGTAAAAATAACCCAACCTTTCATATGATCCATTTTTTCCAAACTTTTCTTCTCCCATTATTTTTTAGTAATATTGACCTAAAGGTTTCCTTTGGGGGAAAAAATGAAATGAGCAATAGTGCATTGACCATATACATGATATATTGGGAACGTTTATGAATTCAGACAATTACATAACTCATCTACTAAATACGTCAGAGACCATTAATGGGCGATAATTGAAATAGAGATCTGCAATATATGCATTTAGTGTTATTCATTTATTTTTAAGCAGTGGTACTGGTAAGTGATCAGTACTAGAGCACCGTACATAAAGAGTATTATATTTTAAATTAGTAATTTATTGATCTGACGTCGTGATTTGTGGACAGTTTTCGAATTTAAATCGCTGAGAAATCTTGTTATAGTTTGAACCATCACTTGGTCAAAACTCTCTTGCTGGTCATTATTTGGCAGTACTACAGTGCCATTATTTGCAGAGGAGCTACTGCCACCTTTCTGTTTGATCTGCAAACAAAAAATTAGCGATACCGATCGACAATAAATGTATCACTCAATTATATACGAATTATACATCGTCAGTTCATTTTATCGATTTAAATTTAAAATTTAAATTTTATTATAGTAAATTTTTTTTTAAAATAATCGTATTTAATTTTTTTATTATAATAAAAAATTATCACATAAAATTAAATTTTAACTCAAATTAAAAATTAGAATTAATATGGACCCTATATGTGTGTACGTCTGTATATATACACGTGTGTGTGTGTGTGTTTATGTATTTATGTTGCTTTCTAACGTACGTGGAGTGGGACATTTTGTGAAGAAAAAGCTGGCGATTGATCGAAGCAATCGCGAAAAAAAAAATAAATCTGACGTATAAGTTTATAGTAAAATCCATCAATATCGGACATCGACCATAATGCATAATGCCACTATAGTACTCCACGTACGATAATATATATTAATAATTAAAAAAAAAACAATTGCTTTTCGGCATTTAATGCATGAAAATGCATGCGTGGTGTGGAATGATGAAACGAAAGTGTGATCTGATACACAAAATGATGCATACATATATATACATATATATTGATTATATATGTAACTATCGATAATGTCTTGGCCGTTGAAAATAATAAGTTGATATAATTTACGGTGGTTGGTGCATATTTATATCTATTATTATATATATACATATATTGCCGTTTGGATCTTTATTGGAATATCATAAACGTTGTACTAGTCGATCTTGCACATGATGATGGTAATAAGAATATGATGATTTAATTAGTTAGTTGGGTTGTGAAGAATATGTAATATTGAAATAGTATATACTATTTACCCTTTTCCGCTTTGAAAGTCTGGTATTACTCTGAGGGTTGATTGAATCAGTCAGTTCATCAAGAAATAGAACCTGTGTTAATTCAAAAATGTCAAATTTAAGCTCTCGTTTATTTCACCAATTCGAGTTTTGTTATAGTAAAAAACTCTCAGAAACAATCACATTTAACTTTTTTATTATAATAAAAAGTTCTCACATAAAATAACATCTCAACTCGAATCAGCGAAATTAAACAGGCCTATAGCGTTTAGTAATATTGTGTGTGAGTTTAAATTTTCTACGTGAATTTTTTAAGCTTTGCATTTTTTTTTTTTACCTGTTTCACAATCTCCTCCTTCCATATGCCGTACCTCAAAATTGCCTTTGTGTTGTTGGTTCTTTTTACCTTATTATATATGTGCATAAATTATAAGCACTATTTATAACGAGTTTGTCACATGAAATGAGTAACTCAGAATATCCAAATATGCGCATAACCGTCATTAACGTCTAACGACTTCCCAGAAAAAAAAATAAATGAGAGTGGAGAATATTAAATATAAAGAACGTTTAAAGTTTGGCCATTAATTATTATTATTTTTTTTCAGCCATGTACGAGTCTCGTGATTAATGGTAACCGTTTCTACGTCAAACTTCTGTGAAGAATAGTGGGCAGCGCTTTGACGCAGGACCCCAGTATAAGTATATAATCGAGCTGTGATATATTGAATTTAAAAAATATATATATATATATTTATATTTTTTTTTGGAAAATAATAGAAAATATGTCAATATAAAAAGTTTAAAAAAATATTTAGGTCAATTTTTAGTTATAGAAATTAATAGGTCATAACTTGTTAAGTTATGGTTCATAATCAGATAATTTATAGACAAATTTATCAAGTTATGATTCATAATTATATATATATATATTTATATTTTTTTTTGGAAAATAATAGAAAATATGTCAATATAAAAAGTTTAAAAAAATATTTAGGTCAATTTTTAGTTATAGAAATTAATATGTCATAACTTGTTAAGTTATGGTTCATAACTAGATAATTTATAGACAAATTTGTCAAGTTATAATTCATAATCAGACAAGTTATGGACAATTATAGACAATAACTTGTCAAGTTATGGTTCATAACCAGACAAGTTATAGACGAAAATAGTAATTTAACCTATTTATTAACTTATGTAAACTATTAACTTATTAATTTTAATTCATCTCAAATTTTAGCATATTTTTCTCTTTCTCTCTTTTTTTTTTGTGGGAAATTTTCCAAGACATCATCTATTTTCTAGGGTCCAATGAGGACTAACTAATCGCAGTTTAGGGCCGCGTACCTTTTTTCATTGATAGCTATTACGAGGCACGTTTTTCTTCTTCTGTTCTTCTCCACATGATTGTGCTTTCGGTCCCCTCAAAAGGCCAAAAAAATAAAAAATTAAAAAAAATTAAAAAATAATAAAGTTTGTGCTTTCGGCTGGTCAAAATTTCTAGTTGTCACGTGAGTCTACCTGCCAGTCTAGGCCAACATATGTCTGATGGTATAACCAAGCTTTGTTGACATGTGTTATGCATATAATGTGTTATAACAAATATTTAAGTAGATGCGAATTGTTGTATCGGATAGAAAGTGTTGGAGTAGATAATACGTTCAAACAGAAATTTAAATTTTATTTGGTAAGTTTGAATAGAAATTTAAATTTAATAAGAAAAAACCAATAGTTTAAATTTATAAAATAAATATAGTGAACGTCTCCTCTGCTCTACTTGATTTGTTGTTCTTTGTTCCTCTCCGGTCTCTACTATGCACTGCTCCATTTTTAAGGGGTGTTAGGGGTTTACATGTAGAAGGTACTCCGACACTCATATTAATTAAATTGTGAGAGAAAAAAAAATAACATAATTAATAATAAGATGGTAAAAGGATGTCTAAAATGTGAAACCAAATGTTCAATAAGATGAACTCTCTAAAGGGATGTTTAATTCGCTGATTTAAAATTTTAATTCGAATTAAGATGTGATTTTATATGATAACTTTTTACTGTAGTCAAAAAGTTATATGTGTGTTTTTTAAAACTTTTTACTGTAGTAAAACTCGAATTCAAACTTGAATCGATAAAATGAACGGGACCTAATTTTATTCTAATTCGTACACGTCACCTTTTGTCTAGAGTTTGGAGTAAATGGTTAAGGAAATCCTCTGATACTCCCGAGCAATTCTTATAGAATTATGGACAAATGTCGGCAATATTAATCAGTGGATTGGGTTTTGCAACGTGTTAAAACGGTCTCAATCTCAATCCTTAATATCGAATTCGAGGCTGACCCTCAGGCTCAAGGTACACTTCGATTGACGTAATCTCGATGGTTCTTCTTCTTTACCTCGAGACCTCAATTGATATGTCGGGAGTCCTCCGGTGATTTTGCCTTAGTAGACCACGAAATTTGACCCCTCGACCTTGATCTCGCCGGTTTCAATTCGTCTATCCCTGCCTCCCTGGGACATGTCCTGCTCTCGATCCTTATGGGAAAACTATCCCAAAATAGAGACATTCAACAATTTCTGCGTTAAGTATACGATCCAAATTATGGAAGTAAAAGCTAAGATGAATGAAGCCAAATAAAAACTAAAAAATCGATCAGTGAAAGTGGCCTTCAACGACAATGGACTGACTAGTTAACCTTTCCCTTTTCCTTTTTTTTTTTCTCTTTTTTTTTCCCTCAATGACATTATTCTGATAATTTCCCTTCCCTCGCCTTTTTATTTTTCAAGGCACGCAAATACATTTTGTTCATGCGTGTACCATGTTGATGTCGCTCAGATATCAGTCATGGAATGACAACCCAAAAAAAAGAAAAAAAAAAGATTGAATATTTAGTATGTACGTAGTTGTCACGTTGGGTGTTTCTACTTGAAAAGTTAAATAATGACAGTCTAGCACAGGACAAGATAGTCGTTTCATAAAACCATCGGGTATTTCTACTTAAAAAGAGAACGAGAAAATCCGTATCTCGTTTCGATTAGATTCATGCTCTCACAATTTCGGAAAAGTACGTTAGCCAGTCCTGGTTCCGTTTTGCTATCAGAATCATTGGCCAATGACAAAAATGATGATAAAGACTAAAAGGATGATAGTCATAGACAAGAAGAGAATGAACCAAAAGGATACAAATTGACAAAACAAACACAAGATCAATTGACGTAAGTTTGAAACATCACGTGTATGTGAGTACAATATTTGCCTCCAAGCCAAAAATATATTTCCAACTAAGCCAAAATTATCCAATCAATTCAATATTTCAGGTTGAAAGGATATTTTTACCCACCCACATTTCACTACCAGGAATCTTTGTATTGTTGAAAGAAACACAAACTATACACAAAATTACAACCAACCTTTCGATTTGAGGGCATTTTGAAAAAGCGTGTACTTCGGACAGTACTCTTCCAAATTGCTTTTGCATTTTCCTTCCAGTTCTTTGTCGTAAATTCACCGGGATGCTAGTGACCAGAAGTTCAAGAGAAAAGATGGTAATGAAGTGAACCACGTTATAAAAGCCATGGCTGTGGCGGTTTCGAATTGCGCACAGTGGTTGCGGGCACAGCTACCAAGGTCATTGTCGATTAGAACTGTGATTCCCGCAGAAGCACACGCTGCAGCAAAGGTAAGAGTGGATGTCATCTGCAACACAAAGAATGGTTACCGATTAAGCAATGAAAGGCAAAATCGAGTAAGTAATGATCGAACAAACAACTTGCACGAATACACTATAATTTGTTGCATTATCCATGTTGTGCAACGCAAGACAGATAAGGAAACAAAGTATAACATCGTTGATGCACTATCCTTGGGAAAATGTTACAAACAGCCCCACAATTTTAAACTGCAGGTAATTTGAGAATTTGTTGGGACTACCGATAGTGCAAGAACAACTGCCCAAAACCTATTGGAGAAGAGACAAAGGGCAGTATCCAAATATGAATTAAAACTAGTCTTTCACCCTCACTAGAGTTATTTGCTCTCTGAAATCTTACCCCATCACCAACAGTGAACAAGCTGACAACTTGATGATTCTGTAAAGATCGTCTCACTAAAAGAGCATAAATGTCAACAATGGCTAATGAAAAGCTCCACAAACATTGCAAACCAGCAGCTGCTACAAGATAGCTGACATAGCAAACATAAAAGTTCATGTTACCAAAGAGCATATCTACAAGATTGTCACAGAAAATATACAACAGAAACACTTTTATTAATAAACTTTCCACAGAAGCATAATATCTGGAGAGCATTTGTTTACTCAGATCTAAATCCTCACTTCCACCAATCCTAAGACCAGTTACACTTGCATGGAGTCGGTATTAAACACTAGGAATGAGTGACCACAGATTTCCCTAACGAAGAATTGCATGAAATAAATATATGGCTGAGATATATATTCTTTAGTCTTTACCATCCCAAGGCCAAACTGAGTGCATACGTAATATGGAATTCTAGATATAGTGGTAGTTAACTTGTTTAATATGTTAAGGAACAATGAATTTAATAACAAGGAGTGTCCGAGTAAACTAAGGTAGATTGAACTTTCCATTTCTCCTTTTTCCTACCAGCAGTCATTTGTCACCTTAACTTGAGAACACTTATAACCAAAAAGCCACCTAGCAGAAAAATATTCAATCTCCATACACCCCCATGAAAAGCTCAGATAACTTGCACTTCCAGTCTCCAGAATGATGTTATGATGAGAGGTACAGAGACAAATGACAAGGAGACAGATTGAAAACCATTCTATAACTATCACATTTATCCGTTCTTGACACAAAGGCCATAAAAACACATTTTTATGCATATAATAGCGAGTTTGTTTTTATCTTTTTCTTTAGGTAATAAATTGAGGTGGATTCATTCAAGTATCCAAATCAGTGTAGGACATGGGTGAACATGAGGTACTATGTCTTTCATTTTTTGATGATGCAAATTCATTAGAAAAGTGAACTCCTGCAAATCATAGGCTATGGTCTTTCCAACTTCCAAACAACAGTCCACTAGAAAGAGAAACGGTCTGTGAAGGTTCATTGAAACGTAACATATTCTGTATCCTATTGCCACTTCGCATTTTGGCAGTGATTCACCTTGCTTTAGATTGCACGATTTTCATTCGTGGGTTTAACTAGGCATACAAGGAACCCAGCTTTCAGAACATCCAGATGAAACCAACTACCGAGTATATTCTACACCTTCTCTAATAATGGGTTTGTGATCTTCTTCAACCTTAGACCATACACCGACGGCAAAAGTATAAAAACAAAGAAAAAGTACCCAAATTGTCTGCTTAAGTTTAATTTCAAGTAAACACAAAACCAGAAAGACCAAAAAGAAATTAAAACACTACTTCAAAAAAGAACAAAATGCAATAACGATGACAAGAACTTGCATTGCATCAAATCGGCCATTAGTATATCAACAACTATCCGAAAACAATACTGATCGAAGTGTCATATCTAATACTAGTTATATTACCTCACAATCAAGCAACGTACCGTAAATTCTAATCCAAAAGTCAGTTTTTTATGTCATTTCTCTAAGAATCACACTATTAAAGAGAACATTAATACTGCTAATCAACTCACAAGCCAAACCGAGGCAATCAATCAAGCAAAAACAACAAGCTAAAAGAAAAGACAAAAATTGTGAATGAAGTTCTACCAGAAGGCAGTGACGGAAGGGAAGTCGCTTGTGGTGGCCATGACGGCAAGTGCGGCGGCGGCGAACACGAACTGGCTAATGCGCAAGGCTAGCCCTCCGGGAGTGCCCGGCATGCCCTGCAAGTCCTTCATCCTCACCCTCGGCGCGTTGGCTCCTTCCGTGGTCGGTGCATCTTCCACTGGATGAACCGACGCATTGCTCACATTCATCTCCTCGCCAAAGCAAACCCACACTTTCAATTCGTAATCATACCCGATCTCTACTCTTCAATCTCTCCCCTAGCAAAAGCTCGATTCCTTAACAAGCTAAGAAAAATTTCGACAAACCCACACGAAATTAATGCATCGGAGATGAAAAAGAAGAAGTTTGACATTCTGAATTTTTCGAACCTTTTTTTCTCGGGAACCAAACAAACACAGAATCTGACTTCGATCACCTCTAATTAGGACAGATTCCGAGATCTGATTCGTCGCAGAAGCCTAATTGAAGGAATGCTAGATTTCCGGGACGTATCTTCCTCCGATCTCCGTGGTCGTTGAAGTTTTGTTTTTTTTTTTTTGTTTTTGATAATTTTCTATCTGGAGAAAATGAAAAGTTGTAAAAGCGGCGAGCGAGGAATTGGGGGCTTCGGACAGGAGCGATAGTTTTTTGACAGTTGAACTACTCGCTCCGGGATTGGTTGACCCCAAATTCTGGTCTGGCAACAGCAACAGACAAGCGTGCGAGGACTACTGTTCTTTCAGGTTTTGTTTCACAACTGGTTTAAGAAAATCCCAGAGTGTCGTGTCATGCGTTTAGTGAAACGATTAATTTCATAATATTTTACCCTTGAGATAAAGTATGAAAATTCGAATGTCGTTCATTTAATCGATTCGAATTTAAAATTTAAATTTTATTATAATAAATTTTTTTTTAAAATAGTCACATCTAATTTTTTTATTACAGTAAAAAATTTTCACATAAAGTCACATTTCAATTCGAATTAAAAATTCGAATCAACGAACTAAACGGGTCCTAAATTTTAGAGTCATTTTCAATTTGTTTTTTAAACTTTAAAAATTCTTACTTTATTTCTTAAACTTTAAATTGTTCTTACATAACTTTTTTTGTTGTAATTTCTGTTAAGATCAGACAGAAAAAGAGAGGGTTAAGTGTGGTTATGTGATTTTTATATATTTCTTTTTAACATAAATCCAAATAGAAATACCACATGACTTCGTTATTCTCTTTTTTCTATCTTTTTTCATATAAATTACAATAGAGGGGGTTAAGTAGAAACAATTCAAATTCAATGGATAAAATGAGAGTTATTAAAATTTAAGAGACAAACTGAAAATAACTCTAAAGTTTAGGATCATCAGTTATAATAATCCCTAATGTTATTTCATATATGACCTCTAAAGGTCTTCAGTCGCCTTGATCTTTTAAGATATCATAGGGGAAGTTTAAAAAAAATTAAAAAAAAGCAATTTAAATTTTGGGAATAAATTGACTTAAAATCAATAATTTAGAGGCATGTATGAAGGTATAAGCAGTGTCACGTCATTATGTTTTAAATTCTATAAATATAGAGGTATTTTTAACTATGATATATAATTAAAGAGATGAAATGAACTATTTTCAAAACTCAAGCATGTTGAATAGGTATAGGGGCATTTATGAAATTAGAGTAAACTATATCGTTGCATTCTTAATTTTTCATTTTTTTGCACGAGTAATTGGCATAAATAGTTTATAAACTCTTTAATAAGTGATATTGTGATCCATATTCTTTTAACATTGATAAAATAAACTCTAAACTCTTTTAATTATGTGCAATTAAGACCCTACCGTTCAAATCCGTTAAAATCCTCACGGAAAATGCATGTGAGTTGTCACGTGACCCTATGGCACAGGCATTAACATAAAAGACTCTTTTGTGGGTTGTATTTGGGGATTAAATCATGTAGAAGAACTTGGGGGCTTTATTTTCTTTAGGAGGATGCTTTTTGCTACAAAATCTGATTGAATGATGGCAGAAGAAACTCTTTGGTGCACATGCAAGAGGCCGAAGAGAAGCAACATCTTCACGGCTTGGATGGATTTAAACCCCCGGCGCCACTTTTAGTGGTCGTTTGGTTTAAGGATTTTAAACTCAGAATTATGATTATGGGTTCAAACTACTGTTTATTTATAAAAAATAAAAAATGGTTCTGATATGACTCACTTAAAATAAGTATTTGATTTGGATGATTCTGATTCAAGATTTAAACTCTAATGTGATGTTTTAAATCATGAATCACCCATAATTCTAAAATCACCCACCCATTTGATTTTGAGTGGTTTAAACCCATGTTTTTTATTTTGGTTTCAAAACCATGATTTGGACTCAAAATCATGAATCATGGTTATTGTTTCAAAATTAAAACTAGAATCATCATAATTTGAACCCTCGTACCAAACGACAGTTTGGTGGATTTTAATTGATTAAATTTGGGAATTGATTTCTTCTCCTTTTTCTAGTGCGGTGGGTGTGATCTTTATAATTTTTTTCTATGAAAGACCCGGCAATGCGTGCAAAATCAAGGATAAGCATATTTGGATTGCTGAGAAGAGTGAACGATTTGGAAGCTCAGGTTGAAGCATTGGAACAGACCCACCCTGAGAGGGAGAAGTTTTTGGAAGAACGGTTAAAGGCAATGCAAGTGTTCAAACTTCAAGGGGGGGGGGGGCAAATTATGGTTTTTTTTTTTTTTCATTATTGTGTCGGTGGTTTGTTTTTTATTTATTTTTGTTCAAAATTGTTATGTTGTCTTGGATCTAGTCTAGATCAGCACTTTTTTTTTTTTTTTGCTTGTATGATTTTTCTATTGTATATGTCTAGTTTGGAATGGAATGGACTGTATGATGAATTTGAATGGAAAAGCTTGGGTTTGTTTTGGATTAAGTTGAATGAGGAATGACATTTGTTTCTGAATGTGGGGAAAAATGGATTTATGTTTCAAAACAATATCTTGAATTTCACGTTTTAAATATATTTTGAAATATTTTCATAAATTATATTTAAGGAAAATTAACTTTCGTAAATAAATTTTGTTGCGTTAATGGTCTTTTTTTTTTGTCCATAAAATGCGCGAGGGATAAAATAGTGACGAGTATTTTTAACTTCAAATTATGCCTTTGTAGTTTTTAAATACAGGGAGAAAATTATGAAAAATAAACAAAATTAGAATGTATATATACACACACACGTGTGTGTGGGAGATCAAAACTCCAAGGGATAATTTGGTAATATGCAAAAATTTAGGATTAAGGTGCCAATATGTGACGTGCGCGTGCTAGTTGTTCATCACATTGCACTAATATAACATTAACAAGTGAAAGAGAATAGTTACTAAAATTGAAAGTTCAATGAATATTTGGTCAAGTCCAATAAGTGCTAAAAAATGGTGGTTTGATTTTTCCTGTTTGGTGAATAGTTGAAAAGAAACACATAATTGAAAATTCCCTTGAAAAATATAATTTTCTCACATTCTTTCTTTTTTCTTTTTGATGAAAATACTTTTCATTGGAATTTTAATTCATTTTCTATTTTCTAATAAGAAACGGTATTGCAATCGCAATCGTCCCTTAACTTCATTATTTGCATTTCGAAACTGGTGGATGCTTGGATGGACAATAGAATTGTATAATTTGATGGAATAAAAAAAATAATATTGTTATTGTATGAAATATCTTTTTCTACTTTGTTGAATTTTAGCTTCTTGTAATAAACATTTTGGGAAATGCTATAATATCATAGACGAGTATTATGCAAAACGTAAAAACTAATGGTCCGGATAAGCTTGGAATTGATAATCTGTAATGGGCTCCATAAATTGTGTTGTTTTCTATGAATGGTGATAAAACATCATGCTTTTTAAAATCCAAGGATTAAAAAACAAAAATAAAATAATAAAAAAAGAGAATGATGTGCTACACAAAAGAAGGGCAATGGACGAGCCGACGAGGTTCGTCAGATATTAGATGGGAGTGGTCAGTGTTTTAAAATAAATATAATAATATATATTAGATATTTTGACTATTTAATAAAAATTTATTTATTTTACATATTAAGTGTTTTGTTCTTTTTATTTTTCGTATTAATTGAATGTATGATAAGTAAATTAGAAGTCTGTGACTGTCTCTTTAAATATTAGACTGTGCATATAATGTGAAGAATATGTGAAAGATATGAATCTAAAGATGACAGTCTAAACAATATAATCCGCAATTGATGAAATAAAATTGGACGCTTTATTCGTGTTAAGATTGTTATACTGTCTACTTCCTAACGAATACGACTTAGTTTAGTCATCGGAGGTGGGACTCCATGGGTAGAGACATTGATATAGTTTCTAGTGGTGGAATCTATATTGGATTAGACCAAAGTTGAATTGTTTTAATTAATAATTTTGTTTGAATAAAACAATTCACTTTTGACTAATTATATATTATCATCTTAATCCTGAGATGAATAATAAACCCGTATACTTGACTTGTGCCTTTTGATGTGCCAAAGAGATACATCCTAACATCGTGCAAAGGTACGCTTACCAGTATGTTGGGGGTAAGACTCTTATATGCGTAATTTTATTATTCATAGATAGGGAATCCATAACTCTTATTAAAAGAGTTAATGATATCCTGTTATGGCGTTATCTGAAGATTAGAAAATATGAGTGCTCAGTCATTATACTACTTTGTGTTATCTAATGGTCTTTTATTTATATTGGTACAAATTGTGGTTTTCTGATGGAGTGATAATAAAATATAAGATAAATATAATCGGGAAGGTAAAACGGAACTTGATCTCAAGTCGATTATGGATATCCTATGAGGATAATACACAATATAATAGGTCATGGACAAAAGCTAATTGGAACTTTGTAAATATACGGTATTGATGGAGAGTGCAGTTTTAGGCTTTTAGTGAAATATCACTAGCACTTATAATCATGTGATGAACTTGTGAGTTAACAAGTACAGTCTTGATTATAGAAGCTTGATCAATACATGTCCATCGAGTCCCTCTGCTAGCTCATATATTTTCACGATACAATACGGCATATTCCTACAACTTGGTAACTTATGTCATTTATGCAATTGGTTATAAATCGGATGAAATTAATTCATGAGTGATTTATCGGTTAAATTAATTCAAGATAAATTGGTTGAATTAATAAAATGTTTAAATTAATTCATGAGTTATTTATCAGTTAAATTAATTGTGTAAATTAATTCAAGATAAATTAGTTGAATTAATGTTTTTATTTTTATTTAATATGATAATATAAATATATAATTATTTTAATCAGATAATTTCTACATTGAATTATTTGAATTAAAACTGAATTATATATATTATTCTCGAATTCGAATAAAGAAACAAAGTGGGCCTGAAAAACTGGATCCGGTTAACCGTTGGGCTACGTCTGGTTAACCGAAATGTTACGTAGTACGGACTTGAGTCCGTCATCTAGTTAACCAGACGGTCTACGTGGCACTAACTAGTTGCGATTTTAATGGCGATTTTGGATCCAAATACTTAACAGAACTGCGAAACAAGTATAACATATCACTATAAATAGCTCATTACGTCCAAAGTCATTTAGATCACTTGAGAGACACTCTGGGTGCTATTGGTAAGGGTTCCTTCTATTGTAGTTAGAAGGAGATCAAGATATCAAGTAGGAGATTGAACGACTCATGCCCACTCGCACTCCGATATTGAAAAA